TGCACGGTGTGCCGTTTTCAAGAAAAGTTGTAAAAAAGCAGGGCTCGACTGTGACTTGAACCCAACCACATTAGAATATACGAACAGGTGAAGGGGACACCTCCCATGTGCGGACGCGACATTGATTATTGCTAAATATTAGCAGTAGGCCGCCGTGGGGGCGCCTTTACAAACCTTATATCTCTGCAACCACAGGACCGATTCACTCGCGGTCTTTTGTGTGGGATAGTTTCTTCCTTTCCCAAACGTAGTGTGCTACACTCGATGCGTATGGGTGACCCCTAATGCACGTGCCACGTGCAAAAAGAAGAGGTGTCAGTTCGGTTACAAGTCTAATAACTCTGTAGTTAGTTTGCCGATTGCACTGAGACTTGGCATGGTTATAGGCACCCGCCGCGCAATGCATTTCCATGTGTCACGGTTGGGGCGCCGCTGCACGTGCACACGGGCAGGGTGACGCTTCCAGATCTCGAGAACGGCTGGGCCGATTGTGATCAAAGTTGGGCACACCGTTAGGGATCGGCGAGTAGGGTGCCGTGCACAAATCAGATGGGACTCATTTTGCACGTGCGCACGTGCAGGACGACGCTTCCAGATCTCGAGAACGGCCGGGCCGACTGTGCTCAAATTTGGCATACCACTAGAGACTGGTTAGTAGGGTGCCGTGCACAAGTCAGTTAGTATGTATTTCCATGTGCCACGGTTGGGGTGCAGCTGCACGTGCGCAAGTGTAGGGGTCGCTTCCATGGATCTTGGAAACGGCTGGGCCGATTCAGATTAAATTCGGTACACCGCTAGAGACCGGCGAATAGAGTGCCGTGCAAAAGTCAATTGGGGCCCAGGCTGCACGTGCGCACGTGCAGGGTGTTGCTTCCAGATCTAGAAAACGGCCGGGTCGATTGCACTCAAATTTGGCACACCGCTATAGACCGGTGAATAGGGTGCCGTGCACGTCAGTCCGTAGCACACCGACTCCGGTCTGCACGTGCAAGGCTCATCCTTTCGTTTGGCGGCGGGGGTTTTTGCTGCGTTTACAAAGGTGCTTGCTCAAACAACCTGCGGTTAACCGCAGGTTGTTTGAAAAGACAAACACTATTCGTTAGAATTGTGTTTTTCTATTGAAAAACAACCGGAGCGGTCGTTCTCCGGGCTATGTTTTGCAAGTCTGGCAGCGAATCGAGACATCTTGACGGGGGCCTAGACGAAATGTACAATCGTCGTAAAAAGTTCAGTGTATGGGCTCCCGGAGGCCATCTACCTGATGGCAACGGTCGCTACTCGCTTAAAACCTCGTGGCACGTGGCACGTGCGATTCCATTTTCCCCATGTTAAGTGAACGGGGTTTTGGACACTTTTTGCGCGATCGCCAATTGCGGGAAAACGAGCCAAGGAAGAGGTGGTTTTCTTCCCAGCATTTTATGGCAAACACGTTTGGGTACACGCCAGTGTGCGCCGTATACCCGCCAGAATCTCGGAACGTGTCTTTGCACGAGGTCAAAGTTGGAATTTTGCTGTGTCCCATGTTAAGTCAATGGACGGCGATGTCGAGACTTTGCAGAGACATTTTCATTCGATCTTTGTACAAAATTTTAGAGATAGATTTCGCCCAAACTCTTATATGTTGTAGAGGAAAGAGCATAGTACTTGCTGGTATGCTTCGTTAAGCTGGCAGAAATCGTTTTTTCTAATAAAGTTCGTTTGAAAATGAAAATTTTTAACATGGAAAGTCAATGGGGGCGTCTTTATTCCTCTATAACTTTTATGGTTAGTAATATATATAGGTGAAAAGTTAATATAATTTACAACTTTTGATGCTCTTTCCATTGATGTATAGAACGTCACTGCACGGTGTGCCGTTTTCAAGAAAAGTTGTAAAAAAGCAGGGCTCGACTGTGACTTGAACCCAACCACATTAGACTATACGAACAGATGACGGGGATACCTCCCTTGTGCGGATGCGAGACTGATTATTGCTAAATATTAGCAGTCGGCCGCCGTGGGGGCGCCTTTACAAACCTTATATCTCTGCAACCACTGGACCGATTCACTCGCGGTCTTTTGTGTGGGATAGTTTCTTCCTTTCCCAAACGTAGTGTGCTACTCTCGATGCGTATGGATGACCCCTAATGCACGTGCCACGTGCAAAACGAAGAGGTGTCAGTTCGGTAGAAAGTGTAATAACTCTGTAGTTATTTTGCCGATTGCGCTGATCCTTGGCATGGATGTAGGCACCCGCCTCGCAATGCATTTCCATGTGTCACGGTTGGGGTGCCGCTGCACGTGCGCACGGGCAGGGTGACGCTTCCAGATCTCGAGAACGGCTGGGCCGAATGTGGTCAAAGTTGGCACACCGTTAGGGCTCGGCGAGTAGGGTGCCGTGCACAAGTCAGATGGGACCCAGTTTGCACGTGCGCACGTGCAGGCTGACGCTTCCAGATCTCAAGAACGGCTGGGCCGACTGTGCTCAAATTTGGTATACCGCTAGAGACTGGTTAGTAGGGTGCCGTGCACAAGTCAGTTAGTATGTATTTTCATGTGCCACGGTTGGGGTGCAGCTCCACGAGCGCACGTGTAGGGGTCGCTTCCAGATCTTGAAATTGACGGGGCCGATGGAGCTCCAATTTGGTACACCGCTAGAAACCGGCGAATAGAGTGCCGTGCACAAGTCAATTGGGGCCTAGGCTGCACGTGCGCACGTGCAGGGTGTCGCTTCCAGATCTCGAAAACGGCCGGGTCGATTGCACTCAAATTTGGCACACCGCTATAGACCGACGAATAAGGTGCCGTGCACGTCAGTCCGTAGCACACCGACTCCGGTCTGCACGTGCAAGGCTCATCCTCTCGTTTGGTGGCGGGCGTTTTTGCTGCGTTTACAAAGGTACTTGCTCAAACAACCTGCGGTCCCGCGATGCGGAGCCCGGCATCGCAGATGCCGGTAACCGCAGGTTGTTTGAAAAGACAAACACTATTCGTTAGAATTGTGTTTTTCTATTGAAAAACAACCGGAGCAGTCGTTCACCGGGCTATGTTTTGCATGTCTGGCCGCGAATTGGGGCAACTTGATTCCAGCCAAAACTTCTGCAACGATTTTCGTAAAAATTTCAGGGTATAGACTTTCAAAGGAGATCTACCTGATGGCACCGGTCGCTACTCGCTCAGAAATCTTTTGCGCGTGGCACGTGCGTTTTCATTTTCCCCATGTTAAGTCAATGGGGGTTTGGGGCACTTTTTGCGCCATCGCGAATGGTGGAAAAACGAGCCAAGAAAGGGGTGGTTTTCTTCCAGGCATTTAATGGAAAACACGTTCCGGCACACACCAGTGTGCGCCGTACACCCGCCAGAATCTCGGAACACCTCTATGCGCAAGGTCAAAGTTGGAATTTTGCTGTGTCCCATGTTAAGTCAATGGACAGTATTGCAGCGATATTTTCATTCGCGCATGGTACAAAATCATGTGTCACGATTTCGTTCAAACTTTCGAGAGATGTTGAGAAAGGAACATAGTATATGCTTTTTTGCTTCGTTAAGCTGTGCAAAATCGTTTTTTCTAATAAAGTTCGTTTGAAAATGGAAATTTTTAACATGGAAAGTCAATGAGAGCGTCTTTATTCCTCTATAACTTTTATCCTTAGTAATATATATAGGTGAAAAGTTAATATAATATACAACTTTTGATGCTCTTTCCATTGATGTATAGAACGTCACTGCACGGTGTGCCGTTTTCAAGAAAACTTGTAAAAAAGCAGGGCTCGACTGTGATTTGAACCCAACCACATTAGACTATACGAACAGGTGACGGGGATACCTCCCGTGTGCGGATGCGACACTGATAATTGCTAAATATTAGCAGTCGGCCGCCGTGGGGGCGCCTTTACAAACCTTATATCTCTGCAACCACTGGACCGATTCACTCGCGGTCTTTTGAGTGAGATAGCTTCTTCCTTTCTCACACGTAGTGTGCTACTCTCGATGCGTATGGGTGACCCCTAATGCACGTGCCACGTGCAAAACGAAGAGGTGTCAGTTCGGTAGCAAGTGTAATAACTCTGTAGTTATTTTGCCGATTGCGCTGATCCTTGGCATGGATGTAGGCACCCGCCCCGCAATGCATTTCCATGTGTCACGGTTGGGGTGCCGCTGCACGTGCGCACGGGCAGGGTGTCGATTCTAGATCTCGAGAACGGCTGGGCCGATTGTGATCAAAGTTGGCACACTGTTAAGGATCGGCGAGTAGGGTGCCGTGCACAACTCAGATGGGACCCATTTGGCACGTGCGCACGTGCAGGCTGACGCTTCCAGATCTCAAGAACGGCTGGACCGACTGTGCTCAAATTTGGCATAACACAAGAGACTAGTTAGTAGGGTGCCGTGCACAAGTCAGTTAGTATGTATTTACATGTGCCACGGTTGGGGTGCAGCTGCACGTGCGCACGTGTAGGGGTCGCTTCCATGGATCTTGGAAACGGCTGGGCCGATTCAGATTAAATTCAGTACACCGCTAGAGACCGGCGAATAGAGTGCCGTGCACAAATCAATTGGGACCCAGGTTGCACGTGCGCACGTGCAGGGTGTCGCTTATAGATCTCGAAAACCGCCGGGTCGATTGCACTCAAATTTGGCACACCGCTAGAGACCGGTTAGTAGAGTGCAGTGCACACCCACTCCCACTCCGGTCTGCACGTGCAAGGCTCATCCTCTCGTTTGGCGGCGGGCGTTTTTGCGGCGTTACAGAGGTGCTTGCTCAAACAACCTGCGGTCCCGCGATGCGGAGCCCAGCATCGCAGATGCTGGTAGAATGAGTCGTACTTTTCATGCATGGCTCATGCTGATTGCTCGGTAAAGGATCAAAAACTATGTTTTTGTCGTTTTGAATGGTGACGGTTGCTGAAAGTACTAACGCAAGTGTCTCAACTTTTCGTAATGCAAATGCGGGTAGGGGGCACCCCTCCCCTGGTTTCAATTGCAATAAATATGGGAAAAAAACATTGTATAGGACCCACCTTGTTCGTGTTTTCGTCCACGCTGCTGGCCATTGGCGGCTGCAGCCAGCGAGGTGGGCTGTCCCCCACGTCCTGCACGTTGACGAAGACGGTGACGGAGGAGCTGAACGTGGTTCCCCGGACATCGGGGGTGTCCTGTCGAACAAAAGGACACACGTGACATACAGTGGCGCACTGTCGCACTACCGGGTGTCCTGTCACACAGAGGGACACACGTGACATACAGTGGCGCACTGTCGCACTACCGGGTGTCCTGTCACACAGAGGGACACACGTGACATAAAGTGGCGCACTGTCACACAACCGGGTGTCCTGTCACACAGAGGGACACACGTGACATAAAGTGGCGCACTGTCACACAACCGGGTGTCCTGTCACACAGAGGGACACACGTGACATAAAGTGTTCACGTGACGTAAAGTTCACACGTGACGCGCCGCTCAAGCGAGTTGGCGCGTCGTAGGCCTGGCCGGTGACAGGGGCGCTGCCCCGTGGCACGTGAGACGCGGGGCGGCGCGGGCGGGGGTGGCGGTCCGTCCAGAGCTCCGGGGAGTTATCCCACAGCTCTCCCCGGACGGGGCGGACCAACAGATCTCCCCGGGGTCGGGGCGGACATAGCTAATGGTGCCGTCCCGGCCTGGCCGGACGGGCCGCACATACAACTGTGGATACGCCAGACAGTTGTGATTCAAAAGTGTCCTGTTTTATATTGTTGTGTTGGGCCATTGTTATGTAAATAAACATTTTTTGAAGAAGAAAAAAAGTTCACCGAGTTGTACAACATTTAGTTCGGGTTTTTTGAGGTCACTGACCTGAGGTCAGTTAGAGGTCATAGCCTCGTAATGTTAAGCCTACGGGAAAATACTAAATTCGGAAAATACTGGAGATATCCACTTCTTTCTATCACTATTGTGCTTTGAAACCACAGTACGTAACAGCAGGACACTTGGTGCTTCTTTGTTTGGTGTACTTATCCATGGGTCAGGTCAAATGAGGTCAACTGAGGTCACATGACGTTTTTACCAATAACTTGGGACATAATGACGCTAGAGCTTAAAAATTGGTGTCATTATGTTCCTGGGGATCAGCTGAATCGAATGATATGCGATATGCTGCAATTTGGTTAATTTGAACTTAATTAATTATTTATAGTTTACTTAAAATAAAGAAAAACTATAAGTACATTTAAGCAAGCTAAAAAGTACGTCATCCGACGCGCCTTGACGTGATGAGTTCACTAATGCTTTTATTTTTGCTCTATCTTAATTAGATCAAAAGTTATAAGCGAAACACTTTTGACCTGTTTTTTTGCGAAATTTTTACATTTATATCCCCCAAAAAACCTAGATATTGACCTAGAGAAACCAAATTTGCACAGGGGCGAGAACTCCAGGGGGCCCACCTACCTACCAAATTTGGTGTTTTTAGGTGCCATAAGAGTCAATCGCGAGGGGGGTCGCATCGACGCCCCCTGCCAGGGCGTGTTATGAAAAATGCCCTGCCAGGGCGAAGGTTAACCTTCGCCGGCCGAGGGGGGGGGGGGGTCGGGTGCCGCCCGAAAAGAACCCATAGGGTTTTTTCGCGATAGCTCCAAACACGCTGGCGATAGAGAGAGCATACCTGACCTTTGATCCAAGCCGCATCTTTTCACACCAAACGCATTTTTGGGTCAGGTCAGGTCACTGACCTATGACGTCATAAGTGAACCTCTGCACGGTCTTCAGATGTCGCAAATTCGCAACGCCCTCACTGCCAGAGGAGATGTCACAGGGAAATGAAACTTGCAGGATCTAGTATCCATTATGAGTCTCACAACTTGTAGATCTCGGATTTTTCCTAAAGGTCATATGAGGTCAGGTCATTTTCGTGATCTCACCATTGTATTGTATTGTATTGTATTGACAATTAAAACACTCTCCATATTAAAATGGCTATTCTGAGTGTCGCGTCTGAGTTAAAAGGGGAAAACGAGTTAAAATGCACCCAAATCACAGCACTCAGTAAACATATCGAACCATTCACTCATCCCTAAATACGTAAAAACCACTCGGAAACAGAGCGTTTAAAACTTCCCGTAGAGAGGCTCCTAAAATCATGGGGCAGGCGATTATATAACTGGGCGATGCTGTAGAGCAGACGGCGCCTCCCTGCTTCGGTCCTCACGCGTGGGAGAGCCAGATCAGTGTCCCGCCTTGTCGAGCGTGAGCGCAGGGAAGAGTTGGTCAGGATTTGAGAGGATATAGTCTCCGGCTCCCCAGTGCAGCGTATTTTGTGAAGGAAATTGAGTGAGTGGATTTCGAACAGCTGACGGGCGGTGGGCCAGCCCAGTTTCTCTCGCACGTCCGATATGTGGTCAAATTTTCTTCGGCCAGACACAACGCGCAGCGCAAAATTGATGACTTTTTGGAGACGTTGTATGTTTTTATCCGAGCCGTTTCCGTAGACCGAGAGACAATAACGGACGTGCGAGAGGACCAAGGCGCTGACCACAGTAGGCAGGAGTTCACTAGGGATGTGGTGACGCACGTGGGACAGCCCGATGAGAATACCGTTGCATTTTTGGACGAGGGCCGATACGTGAGAGTCCCAGGTGAGGTGCTTGTCAAAAATCACGCCAAGGTTCCTCACCGTAGGGCCCTCACGGATCGTGTCCTCACGGAACCGAATCGAGATGGGATCCAAGCCACGGCAATTTTGACGAGAGCCAAACATGATGAGTTCAGTTTTGTTAGTGTTAACTTCCAAACCGTTGGTATGAAACCAGGCGTCAAATGAGTCCAAAATTTGTTCCAAAGTTGCAATGAGATGAGGGAGGGAGTCTTTTTTGCCAGATAGTAAGATTTGAGTATCGTCAGCGTACTGCACCACGTGCGCCCCAGGGGCGTAGAGGGGGAGGTCATTGGCAAATATTTGGAACAGGAGCGGACCGAGCGAGGATCCTTGGAACACGCCGATAGGATTGGGTAGAGGATCGGAGAGGACTCGATTTCCTCGCCCGTCAGCTGTGCAAACAGATTGGGTATGGCCACGGAGGTAAGAAGAAAACCAGGTCGGATCGATAGAATAGGTTTGAAGTTTGGACAGAAGCTTTGTGTGGTCGATCACGTCAAAGCATTTGGAGAGATCGAGGAGACAGAGGAGAGTGAGTTCCTGTCGGTCGGTGGCAGAGAGGATGTGATCGGATACGGTGGCGAGCGCGGTTTCTGTGGAGAGACAAGAGCGGAAACCGTGCTGGGATGAGGAAAACAGATGGTTGCCAGACATGTAGGTGTACAGCTGCTGCTGAGCAACTTTTTCTACAAGTTTGGCAAAGGCAGGAACAATGGAGATAGGTCGATAGTTGGATGGATCAGTAGGATTACCGGCTTTGTGGATGGGGTAGACGATGGAGTGCTTCCAGGATGCGGGAAATTCACAAGTTGTGAGACAGGTGTTGACGAAGTAAAGGAGGATGTGACTGATGGAATCGAAACAGACGCGAAGGATCCGGATGCTGACACCGTCGGAGCCGGAGGAGGAGGAGTTTTTCATGGAAAAAAGGATGTATCGGAGGGACTGAAGGGAAATAGGTTTTAAGGAAAAGGCACAGGCACCTACCTGTGCCTGTGCCTTTTCCTTAAAGGCACAGGCACAGTGACCATTATAAGTCAATGGGGGAAAAATGAAAACTGCTATTCCGGCGCCGGGAACGATCTCCAACTATCTCAAGCACACAGAATCGTGATTTGATGCACTCCTTGCAAGTTTAGATGCGTCACTTTTGCAATTTTGACCTTCCGTGACGTCATTTATGACGTCATCAAGGTCATATTAGTTTTTCGTCAATAACTCCCGATCAAATTGAGCTAGCGAGTCGAGAAAGCCACCAATGGACTCAGGAAGACCTGCCGAATCGAATGATATGCGACATGACCTCTTTCGACCAACTTCGTGACCTGGGGGTGCTGACCTGACCTTGACCTGAGGTCAACACCCCAAGTTGACCTGACCCAAACAAAAAGTATATCATTCGACGCGCCTGAGCGAGGCGAACACGATGCTGCCAAAATCGCGGCTCTGCGGCCGTTTTTTGCGAAGTTATTCACCAAAAACTGAACCGTACCCTGGGGCACTTGACCTGACCTCAGAGGTCACCGGTTAACCTAGGACCTTAACCCGCGCGGGGCTGGGGGGGTAAATTTTACCCCCCCTCGCGAATTTTTGCAATATCTCAAAAACGGCGGCGCGCAGCGCCGCCAAACTTACAGTACCTTTTCTTACATCAATTTGACACGTTCCCTGAAAATTTGAGCGAAATCCGTCGGAAAATTTTTGAGAAATTGACGTTTTAGTGACGTCATGTTCGCCATTTTTGCCTCAAAAACGGCAAAAGTTCAAACGCCGCTAACATCTTCATTTTTAAAGGAATCAAGACGTAACAAAAAAAGGATATACGTAATTTTACTTTGGCTATCAAATGGCTATCTCGGTTTTTTGAAAATTTTGGATTTTGGCCCAAAATTTTTCAAAAAACTGACTTTTTTTGGGAAAATAGCTATAAAATCCAAAATTTTGAGTGTATCGAAAAAAACGGAATATATGTCAGAGAAGTGGTCTATGTGCACCTACATACCAAGTTTTAGAAGAATCGGTTCAAAAATGTGGGAGTTATTCAAAATTGTATGACGTCACGAGACACAAAAATTTTGAAAAATGACTTTTTTTGGAAGTTCTAAACCTCGTACGGAAACAAAAGTAGTACCATTCGATTCGCCGTGGAAAACTGCATCAGATAGACACCTTTTTAAGCCTTAACAACCAACTTCAAAATTTGACCTCACTTGACCTGACCTTGACCTGACCTCGACCTGAAATTCATCCAAAGGTGGTCCATATCACTTATTGAGTGTGCCTATTGAATTCTATGAGTAAAATGACCCATAAAACATGTGTCGCACATGCCCTTTTCTATATTTTGTTTTTGGTGACCTGACCTGACCTGACCTGGCCTTGACCTTGACCTCTGAATGATATTGTATGCAACGAATATTGTCTTGGTAGCCTAAGAACACGTTTTGGGCGATCAGTCTCAGTCCATGACTCCATTCTTCGGCAACTACGGTGCAAGGCCGATACTGTAGGAACTTGCAATTTGT